GCGACTGTGTACGTAAAGTCTTGTGCTACTAGTCACCTCCATCGTCCAGAATGCCAAGTCATACACGACCATGCAAGTTCAGGCGGGCGCTTTCTAGTTTTGTTTCAATTATCGTGTCTAGGAGCGAGTATTCTTTATATTTATCATTGATAAGGTGATCACTGAATAATAGTACTAATAATCTATTTCCTCCATTTCTAAATATAAGACTTTTTAGAGGATTTTAATATGAACCACATACGGAGCTAAATGGATGAATCTCACTCTAAAGTTCGTCTATATATATCCGTATCTAATCCACGTTGAAGTCTTTTAGAAGACTTATATTTAAAAACAAAGGGAGTACTATCAATACTAACAACCACTCGGTGTCTGTTGCTTCTTCCTGGATTAAAAAGCCCAACAGAAGGCCGTTTTTCTCTTTGTTTAAAAAAGAAAAGACCGTTTTTCTCTGCTAGACATGCCTCAAAGAGACAATTTTGTTATTGCCCTACCAAATAAGGCGATTCCTAACCAGTTACACGAACATGATATTGCTATTTTTTTGTAAGAAAAATGTATTGGGGAATGTTTGATTTATGATTTATGACTAACTTTGCCACAACTAACCTCAGGCAAATTATAGCCGCAAACAAAAATGTGACAAACAAAATGGCCACTACAAGTGCGGCAAGATTTGCCAATAATAATTGTGCTTATGCCATATGGACCATGTAGGTGGAAACAAATGTGGCACTGTACCAAACACAGGCCTGAGCTGTTGTGGCATTACTAAGCTTAGGCGTGGCGATCTTAAACCAAACATGCCCTTGATGTATTTGAGACTGACGCGGTTGATATTGATGTATTTGATTGCATCGAGTCTAATGGGGCCGTATATACATTGCAAAACTTGGGCGCCAAGAAGCCTAAAAAAAGTCTGTAGAATGACAATGCCCGTATGTACATTTCCGAAAGCTAAGCACTAATCTGATTTATCCCCGGGAATGATGATGGAATCCTACGCCACAAAGCAACCAGCACACGCAAAAGCTCTTTCTCCTTGCCTTTTCTTCTTCAAGTCAAAAGGTACAAGACTCATATGCAATCTCCATTTTATAACACATGACGTCCCTATACATCTCTGTCCACGACAAGCTAACAAAAGATTATTTAAATTCATTTAGGTGTCACTAAGTCGCGCCATTGGGTTTTTCACGAAAAATATATTTGGCATATCATTTGACCTACAAATATTTGGAGCAAGACGCGCAAAGTAAAAATGTCTCGTGCACTCTTAAACAGAAGTATAGTTGCTAAAAAAAAGTGGCTTCGACGTCAGTGCAATGGGAGCCAGCTAGAATCCCACGGTGGCGACGCGGCGGTGACATGTGAGACGAGTTCTTCAGTGCACTGCCTTTAGCTTAGCTTGGCTCTTCCATCTCCGGCTGCCTGGCTACATATACTCTTCCATTTGCATCTCAGCCTGTGCGAAAGATTCCACACGGATCGGGATCGATCGCACATGGCCGCAGCGGCGCCGCCCCGGCGCATCGGCAGGTCGACCGTCCACATGGACGGCGGTGGCGCCGACAGGCCGACGCCGGCGATTGATGGTGTAGGCCGCACGTCCTCTGGCGCCGGGGCCGGGCGGCGGCCGGGCATCAACCTCTTCTCGGGGCCGGTATGTGCCGGCGTGTTCGTCTCCTTTGCGCTCTGCATCGTCGCCTAATGCGTCTACTCCTTCCTCGCTCGTCGCCGCGCCATCTTCGACGCCCGCCGCAGGTTCCTCGACCGCGTGCGCGACAGCTTCAACCGCCTCTCCGAATGGTCAGCCGACGGGCCAGCGACGCCGCCTCCGCCAGCATCAGTGACAACGGCCGACCGCGTTGACGAGCCACCGCCTCCTCCAGTCGCGACCACGCCCCCCGGCTTTGACGTGCCACCGCCGCCTCCAGTAGCGACAACGACCACATGCGATGACGTGCCACCGCCTCCTCGAGCAGCGCCGGCCCGCCCTGCACGGGGAGACGCCTCCAACTCTGGCCTCGGTAACTGCCCGGTGTGCCTGGAGCCATTACACGGGCGTACCAACATCATGGCGGCGCAGGCATGCGCCCACGTGTTCCATGCGTCTTGCATCGAGCCATGGCTCCACAGCCGGGGCTCCTGCCCCGTGTGCCAGTGCACTGACAACCCCACCTCCATCCTCATCCCTGACCCCGCCTCCACCTCCACCTCCATCGGCGAATGTCCGGTGTGCCTCGAGGCCTTGCGCCTTGATTGTGGCGACGTCAGGGCAGCACACGCTTGCGGCCATGTGTTCCACTCGCATTGCATCGAGCCGTGGCTCAACCAACAAGGCTCATGCCCTGTGTGCCGGTGCACTGTCAGCTTCAACCCCAACTCCACCTACAATCCCGCCTCCATCTCCACCTCCAACCCGACCTACCTCCAACTCCGGCCCCGTCGGTGAATGTCCGGTGTGCCTCGAGCCCTTATGCGTTGGCGGTGGCGACATGAGGGCAGCTCACGCGTGCGGCCACATGTTCCACTCCCACTGCATCGAGCGGTGGCTACGCCACCGCAACTCCTGCCCCGTGTGTCGTTGCACTGTCACGTGCAGTCGCAACCCATGAAACTAAGTAGCATCTGCTGCTACAACCAGTGATGGTGCTCGCAACCCCCAAGAGACCGTGGTCATGGTGATTGCGGAACAAACGGGAGAGTAGCGGCACCGGAGCTAGCCGACCACGGTGATATGCAAAGATCCATGACCACTTGCGCTGAACTACTCTCAGTGACTAAGAGCATTTCCAACAGGCGCCCAACGCGGCGCGCGCAAAAAACAGCTTTAGCGCGCGCCCATCGCCTGGTTTGGCGCGGCGCGCTGCGCCCGCTCCAGCAGCCGCGCTAAAATGCAGCGCGCGCACGCCGCTGCAGCAGCGCGCAAAAAATGCAGCGCGCACACAATATTTTTTTTAACTTTCGAACGCATATATAAAATAAAAACTAGATAGATTACATAAATAAAAAACAATATAAAGGTATTTTACAACGGTGCAACTAGATAGATAGTTCGAAAGCATAGATAAACTACGGTGCAACTAGATAAAACTACTCTAAGTCGCTATCATCATCACCATTATCATCCTCGGCGGTGTCGTCCGAGGTGTCTAGCCAGATGTCCAGCCACCGATCATCGTTCGGCGCGAAGAACGACTGCCCACCTGCTGCAACGATGTCGGACTGCGCATTCACCAACGCCTTCCGCTGACGCCTTTCCAACCGCGTCTCGCGGCGCCTTCGCGTGTCCTCCTCGCGGCGCCTTGCCCAGTAGGTCTGCTCGTAGGCGACGTCCTCCGGGTGGCGCTGGCGCCACTCCGCCATGACCCACTCGTCCTCCTGGGCGACGAGGAGGCGGCGTTGCTGCTCGGCGTGCTCCACACGGTCTTCCGCCGTGTTCAGACGAGGCAGAGGGGCGAGGTTGAGCGCTTGCTGGAGCGTGTACACATCTTGAAAGTTCATCTGGCCGCGCGGCCGGCCTAGGCGCCACGCCGCCGCGTCGTACGCGCGGGCGGCCTCACGCGCCGTCCCGTACGTGCCGAGGCCGAGCCGGAGTTCGCCGGAGCGTATCTCCGCGGTGTAGCAGCCGTTGGGGCGCAGGCGGACGCCGCGGTAGCCGGACGCTCCTCGGCGGCGCGTCGGTGGCGGGGCGCTGGAGCGGCGCGTGGCAGAGAGGGAGAGGAAGAGGGGAAAAGGAAGTGTGGAGAAGCGCGTGGCGAAGCGGCGCGCAGCTTTATAGGCGCGCGCGAAGCGGCGCGCCAAATCTTGCGCGCGAGCTGGCGCCTTTTCGCGCGCGCGCGCAAACGATTCCGGCGCGCGCTTGTTTCCCGCGGCCGCTGGAGCGCGGCAAACCGCCCCGCGCGCGCTAAAAGCTAGGTTTACCGCGCGCGTGTCGTTTGGGGCGTCCGTTGGAGATGCTCTAAGACAACATGCAACAATGTTGGTAATGACAATGGGTGTGGCAGTTTGCCAGAAAACAATTGTATTGTACGGTTGTTTTTTGCTTTTGGAGTGAGCTCGCTTAGACATAGTAGATTTGGTCAGCAAATTGCTTGGATATATTTCATGTATGTCCTGTCATTTGTTCAGTGACAAAATTCTTTTGTTATCGGTGTTATATAGAGTTTGCTACAATGTAAACCAACCCGTAAAGATAAGGGTTTGGAATTCGATTTGATTCTTTTATTCTATCTCAAGCCTTGTAATCTCTGGATGTAATTTGTTGCATATATAAATAACACGCACGCATTGTGGAGGCCTCTTAGGGTGCGCCAGACCGGTGTGTGACCCAAACCCGGCATTGTGGCTTGGTTGGGGCATACGGCTTTAGATGTTAGGCTTTGGTGCGATGTCTGTTTGATATTAGGCTCGGACATTTGGCACCCCTACATCAAGGAGATAGGAGTAGCGACAGGTGTGTTGCCAAGATGATGGCTTCAAACATAGTGCCGTATTACTTTGTAAGGTCTTTATGAATAATTAATAAAAATGACTGCATGCATCGTCCAGATGAAAAAATCCGGCGTATATTCTCCCTTTGAAAAAAAAAACACGCACGTGTCCCTGCTAAGAGGCATACGCTTCAACCCCATCGTTCAACCGAAAGTTTACACTTGGTTCAGTACAGATCAGGGGACTGAATTAACATTCCAAGAGACATTTAACACATGGCAGACCTAATTTTTTATTTCCAGCAAATAATCTCTTTGATAACTTATTGCATTACAAGGCTATTGGATTAAAAGTTTGTATGATGGCACATCGGCATGGTAATGGAGGCCACAGAAAACAAATAGATAAATTCAACACTAGTTTCAGAAACTAGCAAAACCCCTAGCGAGTACACAGACAACTCCTGCCGTCAGAACATAAACCCTCCGTCCAGTCAGACTAAGAACCACTCCTCTCCTCTAGTAGACAGCTTATGTTTGTTTTTCTTCTGTTGTAAAGATCTGTCAGATTATGCTGTAAGCCCGGACGACCTCGACGATGGGCGCGCGGCACAGCGGGCACTTGCCGGCCCCGCGGAGCAGCTCGCGGGCGCACTTTGAGCAGGTGCACATGTGCCCACACCTGAAAACGTTTGCAGAAGATGAACCAATGTCACATTTTTGTGTTACCGAGTAAGTCCTTGTGCAACTAATGTCACAAAATGTGTGGAGATAATTAAGGTGAGAGATGGCACATGGAAGCATAACAGACCTGTAGAGAAGCGAGTCGATCTGGCTGTCGCAGCAGATGCAGCAGGTCCCTTTCCTCACCAGCTCCCACTGTGATCCATCATCATACCATCTAACTGTCCCTGGCATAAGTTCAGAATCCAGATTAGTCTCTTTGGTCAATCACCATGGATAGATAGATAGATAGATAGATAGATAGATAGATAGATGCCAGGAGATGAATGATGAGGAGCAAGAAGAGGGGAGAGTGATATGATATGACAGACCATGGACAGACAGAGAGCGGTGCATGGCAGAGGCGACCTCCTGCCGGATGGACCTCTGCAGCTCGACCTGCATCTCCATGCACGCCTGCAGCATCTGCTGCGTGCTGGCCATCCCGCGCTGGAGCACGGCCATGTCGTCCCGCAGGTCGTGGATGGCCTCATCAACTTCCTGCCACACACATTCCTGCTCCTCAGCAATAATACCCCAAGATGGCATCCTGAAGAAAGAGGGGGAGGGGAGACTCACAAGTTCATCTGGGCGGTGCACGGGTTGCCGGCTCCAGTCACGACGAGGCGGCACCATCCGCCAGCGCCGCTGCTGCCTTTGGCCGGCGGGAGGCTGCGCGGCTGCGGCGGCGTCCCCGGCCCGATCTGGTCCATTGTTGAGTGGAGCCGGAGGATCATGCTCCTGCCTCTGAGCGTATGAGTGCACGAGCTGGTCCAGGCTCTCGCGGAAGCCGCTGCTGAGAAGATTGGAGACGCTGCGCCTACAAACCAACAGAGATGATTATGTGATCTTTATCAAGCACGATGATGAAACAATTTATACACTGCAAAAAATTATGTGATCCTTAGTCTACCTGCTTAGGAGTTCTCTGAGCTCCGCCCTGTACATTCCATAGAGCGCGTCTTCCTGGAGACGGTTATGCCGAGCGAAGCCGCCTATATCTTCCGGCCGCCATTGCTGTGCTTCGGCTGCTTCTGGGTTATCAATGACATGCCATTCCTCCTCCTCCTCCTCCTCCTCCTCCTCCTCTGCTTCCTGGCCACTGGCGCCCGATCCCGATGTCTCCCCTGGCCACTGCACACTGGGTGGAGGCTGCACGTAAGCTATGGCTTCCTGCCGCGCGCTGCCGTTGCCGTCGGAGGAGGAAGAGCCGGACTGCTCGCCGCTCTGCTCCGAGGTCCCCGAGTCCGACGAGTACTCCTGGTACCCGTGCATGCCTTGTTCCTGATCAAGCTGGCCATTCTCCAGAGCATCCCTAGTGTTCGGTACGTTGGCGGATTGATCTTGTGTTGACGACTGAAGCGTCTGGATCTCATGGCTGGCAGAGGCATTCTCCATGTCATGGACATGGTCACGAACGACTTGATCACTGGCAATGTTTTCTGCTCCAGAGGCAGGATGACTCTGTGTAACCTGTCCTGCTTCTCCGGCCGCCGCCGTAGAAATCGGCCCGCCGTCCTGCGCAGGCCTTCCGCCGCGAGAGATTCTGCCTCGCAGAATGGACTGGAAACAATAACATTCAATCATATGAAAGATAAAAATGGAAACAGTGCTCACTTTTCCAGATCAGCAGATAAGATATGATCTAGTAAATCGGTACTACTTGATAGCCGTAAATTATGCCCGTTAACGTAGCTTCTTGTAGTGCAACACATGATCCAACATAAAAAGGGAGAACAATGGGAATGTTCAGCTTCAACTCATGTGTTTCCAGAGTGAGAGGTGCAGGCACAATAGGCATGAATCAAGTACAGGTGGGGTTTTGGGGCAGAAAGATGCAAACTTTTCAGCTGCTATCATCAGGTGCTGCAAACAGCAATGTGCTGAGGACCCCATTGTGATGGATGACGATCATGTTGACATGCCAAATGTAAAGGAAAACATAAAATACTCCCTACAAATGTTGAAGAAGATTAGAAAATACGACTACTACTCCTGTTTCTGACACTCTGATCGTCGACCAAACGAAGTTTTTTTTAAGAGGAAAAATTTGTATTTTGGGGCAGAGTGAAGAGGAGCAGAGGATGCCGGGGTTTGAGTTGACGGACGGACCTGGATGCGGCCGCGGTGGGCGAAGGAGGACACGGCGCGGTGCTCCGAGAGGCCCTGGAGCTCGCGCAGCCGCTCCATAGACATGCGCCTGGCCGCGCTCGGCGCGCGCGCCTGCCGCCCGCGGAGCCCCGGCGCGCGGCCGTCCACGCCGTCGCCGCCCTGGCTGGCCCGGCGGACGCGCTCCCGCACCGTCCGCACGCGCTCGCGCTCCGTCTCGCCCAGCCACTCCTCGCCTCCGCCGACGCCGACGCCGTCGCCTCCGCGCGGGGCGCCCTGCGGCTGCTGCGCGGGCGCGGAGGCGGTCCACTCCCGCGCGATCCGCCGCACGAGCGCGCGCTCCGGCGACCGCGCGCGCCTCCCGTCGTCGTCGTCGTCCGTGGCGTCGGCGCGGGCGCGGAGGAAGGAGGAGGCGTCGAGCATGGTGGAGACGGCGTGGAGGCGCGCGAGCGCCATGAGCTCCGAGTCGCGGTCCCGGCGGTCGAGCCCGCCGAGCACCATCTGCTCGCAGGCCTGCCGGCGCCGCGCCGCCCACTGCGCTATGATCCTGGACGCCGCGGCGCTGGCCGATGACGACGACGACGACGACGTATCGCCCCCGACCCCGGCGCACGCCATGCTCTTGGGGCGGAGGTCCTCCATGGCGCTGGCCGACATGCTCCTAGCTAGGCGGGAGGGCGAGTGGTGGGTATAAGTAGAGCAGCAGGCGGGGAGGCGGAGGCGGCATTTTTCCACGGGCGCGCGAGCAGAGGAGGAGGAGGAGGAGGAGTTCGTCCAGAGCAGCCTAGCAAATCCCGAGGCGGGACGCTGGCCCGATCGAGAGGTGGAGGAAGAAGAAGAAGAAGAAGAAGAAGAGTGGTGTGGCCCTAGCGGGTTTACCATTGTTTTGCTGCTGATATTTACTCCTCTGGATTTGTTTTGTTTATCGGCGACCAGATCGGCACATATATATATTGCTCAGGGTAAATGTAAAAATCGCAGGAATTAATGAGGTAATTATAATATGAGTCATCACAAAATCTTTAGTCGGATTTTATGCTTATTCATCGGCGCGTTTTTATGACTGTGCATCTAATAGTAGATAAATATTGTAACCCGCATTTTATGACCCAAAATATTGGGCCTCACTTATTAAGTTCTATATTTTTTTATAGTTGTATGTCTTTTGAATTGTATGTATTATTTACTCGCCTTGCATGATTTGGAAAAAACATTATTTACTACCGGATTTAAATTTGTACATGTAAGAGTTGTTCTCTCTCCTACCGGTGTCTTCGCTATGAATTTCTGTTATGCAAGGCGGAGTGCACCCCATCTCTTCTGATAAATATTTTCGGTTTTACACACGGTTCGCAAGCGCAGTTAATACAATATAGGTGTGTGAAACTATATGTGTGTAGGGAGATACACACGAGGGGGTTTGAGCGTGCTAAGTGAGATCATGATTGTCGCTACTCCACGCGAGCACTATGTATCTCAGCGCCTATGATAAATGCTTCAAGTCTCACTAACGGTTCACGAGCATATTAATACGGTATATGTGTGGGAACCTATTTGCTGCATTAAGAAACACACGAGTGGGTTTGAGCGCGTTAAGGGGCATCGTGATTGTCGCTAGTTGGTGATTAATGAGCTTGGTACACGAGTTGTTCGTGAAACGCTTTGTATACCCTTCTTGTCGGAGTCATCTTTAGTCCAATTTTATAAGTATACATCCAATTGTTGATAAATATTATTCCTCACTTATTATCTTCTATATTTATACATTGTTTTAATTTAATTGTTATTTGCTTGCTGATTTGACATTTACACATGAGAATCAGTCTATCCTTCCGGTATTTTCGTATGCAAGGCGGCAGTGGCGGAGCTTGCTCCGAAAAGCTGGGGGGGCTGGGTTGGCCTGGCAGCAAGGGATTGTTACTAGCAGGCTTAATGGGCTGGATAGTCTGGCTATAAATGTGAGGTGGAGGTCCAGAGCTGGGCGGGCCATGGCCCATTCGGCCTTGCTTAAGCTCTGCCAGTGCAAGGCGGTGCGCATTTCATCGTCCTTGATAAATGTGTCAAGTCTTACTAGCAGTTCACGAGCATAGTTAATACAATATATGTGTGGGAACATATATTCATGCAGTAGGAGACACATGAGTGAGTTTGAGCGCGTTAAGGGAGAACATGATGTTCGCTACTTGGTGATTAATGAGCTTGGTATATGAGTTGTGCATAAAACTCCTTGTATACCCTTCTCGTCAGAGTCATGTTTAATCCAATTTTACAACTATGCATCCAATGGCAGATAAATATTATACCTTATTATGTTCTATATTTATACATAGAGCTTTAATTGTAATGATTTGCTCGTTGATTTAAACTAGATGATACCCCGCACGTTGTTGCGGGAATATTTTGCAACATATTTCAATGTGACTCGTTGTATGAAACATGAATATTTGAAGTAATAATATAAAAAGCTAACAATAAAAATACATAGTATAATTTATTGTGCTTGATTACTATATAGTTGTAAAATGTTTATTAAATGTATATAGCATAATAGAATGAAAACCCTCATGTATGTTACATGTTGAGATAAGTCTTTTTTTCATGCATGTCATGATGAAGTGGCATGCTTGCATGTTGAGAGACATATGATAATGGTGGTGGGCCTTTTCTCATGCATGTTGTGCAATGATGTGGCATGCTTGCATGTTGAGAGAAATAGTTAGTGGGGGCTAGCTATTTAGATATAGAAGATTTGTACACGTGTTATGAAAGACGTCATGCACATCATCGCCTCTAATAAATGTTTCAAGTCTCACTAACAGTTGATGAGCGTAGTTAATACAATATATGTGTGGGAAGCTATATGCGTCAGTAGGAGACACACGCGGGGATCTGAGCGTGTTAAGTGGAATCATGATTGTCGCTAGTTGGTGATTAATGAGCTTTGTATATGAGTTGCCCGTAAAATTCCTTGTATACCCTTCCTGTCATAGTCATCTTTAGTCCAATTTCTTTTTACTATACATCCAATGGTAGATAAATATTATACCTCACTTATTATCTTCAATATTTATACATGGTGCTTTACTTTCAATTATGATTTGCTCGCTGATTTAAATTTGTACACGTGAGAATCACTCCATCCTTCCGGTATTTCCATTATGCAAGGCGCTGTGCATCTCACGGCCTCTGATAAATGTTTCAAGTCTCACTAACGGTCCACGAGCGTAGTTAATACATTGTATGCATGTGAAGCTATTTGCATGTAGCAATAGACACATGAGTGGGTTTGTGCGCGTTAGGGGGGGGGGGCGTGATTGTCGCTAGTTGGTGATTAATGAGCTTGGAATATGAGTTGTCCCTAAAATAACTTGTATATTCCTGGTCGGGTTATCTTTACTCCAATTTTATAACTATTCACCTAATTATATCTCACATAATATCTTCTATATTTACACGTGTTTTAATTGTATTTGTTACTTACTCATTGATTCAAATTTGTACACGTGAGAATAATTCCTACCTTTCGGTATTTCCGTTACGCAAGGTGGCATGCGTCTCATCACCTATGATAAATAATTTTTATTCTCATCCATGGTTCGTCGGTGCAGTTAATACGATACAGTTGTCATTGTATACCTTAAGCTACCAAAAAATTCTGCAACATGCAACCAGATTTGGATTGGCCCGGGCCCAACTTCGGTGCCCTTGGCTTTCGAACCCTCACTTGAGAATTCAATCAAAATTGAGATATCGTCTAACCAGTAATGGTTCGTCTAATAAAATAGAAAAAATGAATCGCTTTTTGAGTTGTTGCAAGACATGAGATGACCACGAGGCGACCAACATTTCTCCTCGAATCATCAGTGTTGCCGTGAGTTCCTCTATCCTGCGCTGGTTTCTAAGATGACAGGAGGGCAAGGAAACCCTGCATCCCTGTGTCTGGTCGTCCCGTAGGGTTCTCAATATTTTTTATGTCAGTAAAGTTGGGCCAGGAACGGTGATGTGAATAATGGTTACTCGGCTTTCTCCATGTTGATATAGCCTTCCTCATAGGGGCGTCGATTAGTTGGAGGATGGTGCCTACCCTAGGACATCCGTTTGGCACAACTAGTGTTTGTCCATGGCAGAGATGTCCTAGATAAGGGATGGCATTGCAGTGTGTTTTTGTTTTTTAGTTCCATCTCCACCCTATGAAACTCAACCAGATACACGTCCATCATAGAACTTATCAGGTTTGTGTCCCCCTTCGTTCTATGTCAGGAGTTGGGATTATCCTCTATCTCTTCTTGTCACCAAGTTCTACGAAATGATGACATGTCCAGGTCGATCGCAGACATCAGCGTCTTCTGCTTTTCATCAACGACTTCCAGGACGTTGCTTCTGCAAGCTCATGGATTTCAACAAGATTGCTCCAGTAACACAGAGGTTCATCGTCGTGAGAAACAACTGCTAGGGGTGCAGAAGGAAGATGATGCAATTTTTCTTAAGAACTGGAATGCAATTTATTTATTTTGTAAGGTAATCTTTGAAGGAAATATGCCCTAAAGGCAATAATAAAGTTATTATTTATTTCCTTATTTCATGATAAATGTTTATAATTCATGCTAGAATTGTATTAACCGGAAACATAATACATGTGTGAATACATAAACAAACATAGTGTCACTAGTATGCCTCTACTTGACTAGCTCATTGATCAAAGATGGTTAAGTTTCCAAACCATATACATGATTTGTTATTTGATCAATGGGATCACATCATTAGGAGAATGATGTGATTGACTTAACCCATTCCGTTAGCTTAGCACTTGATCGTTTTTGTTTACTGCTATTGCTTTCTTCATGACTTATAAATGTTCTTATGACTATGAGATTATGCAACTCCCGAATACCAGAGGAACACTTTGTGTGCTACCAAACGTCACAACATAACTGGGTGATTATAAAGGTGTTGTACAGGTGTCTCCGATGGTACTTGTTGAGTTGGCATAGATCAAGATTAGGATTTGTCACTCCGATTGTCGGAGAGGTATCTCTGGGCCCTCTCCGTAATGCACATCAATATAAGCCTTGCAAGCAATGCAACTA